CCTGCGACCACTGGCAGATCTTCACCTTGTCCCCGCTGGACTTGACCCAGATGTTGCTCAGCGTGGCCTCGTCGCCCCAGTTCTTGTTCACCGTCACGATGGCGTTGCCCGGGTTCACGACGTACACGTTCGAAACGGACACCTTCTTCGCCTTGTCGCCGCACGTGCCGCACGACCGGTAGAGCTTGCTGATGTCCTCGCCGTAGAAGCCGTCGATGTTGACGGTGCCTAAGCCATTGTGCTGGATCACCTTGTCGTCGGCCGAGCGAGCACCGCCACCCGTGACAGTCGACACACTGGAGGCGGTTCCGCCCTTGATACTCAGGGCGTCCTCGCACACATCGTCCCACCACACGTTCTCGATGGTGCAGTCGTGGTTGTCGCAGTGGACGCCCTCCATTTGGTTCTTGCCGATAATGACGTTCTTGAGGGTGCCACCGGCCTCCACCTTGAACACCGCGGTGTCTGATCCGCTCTCGGTCTGGCCCTCGCACGAGACGTCGGAGCGCTCGAACGTCTGCATCTTGCCGTCGAACACCTCACCGGCCTTGACAATGTGGGCCGTCGCGTACTGCACGGTGCCCGTGCTGGTTGGCCACGTGCCGTCGGGTACGGACGCGGCGGTGGCGACAGCGGTGAGGATGGCGGCGGACGTGGCGAAGGAAGCAAAGGACTTGACCATGGTAAGTTGTGTCGGTGTGGTGATGTTGGTTGGCGTGTTGGTGGATGCGCTTGACCAGGCAGATTGATTAATGAGCAGCTACTGGTGGCACCGATCAAGCGTTTTAGTTGACTGGTTCGTTGACTGGTTAGTTGACTGATTAGTCGTTGCACACCGAGGTGTTCGACCATCAGAGAGTCGCACCGGTCGTGATATACATGCTGTGTTCTAGCAACAGGCCACGATGCGGTGGTTTAAGCACTTTACACTATTCGCACCACGAAAGAAAAGATCGGGAATTTCGAGTGTGCACCAGTTGCTTTCCGGCAAGCCGTGCTGCTGTTGGGGTTGGCGTGTTGAACACGGCTACCGACGGCGAGTGAGCCGGACGTCTCTGTCAATCGCTGGTCAAATCCGTGACGCTTGCTCCTGTCTGTAAAAGGCTGTGGACCGCTGTGACTTGTGTTGACAAGTTGACATTTTGGATGTGTCCTTTTGCTGCTCGTTGGGGACGCCGTTCCAATTCGCTAAGGCCAGGTGCGACTAGCAATTCCGCCATTTGGTGGTTGTAGAGCACACCGCATTTTGCGGTCCGCATTTGGAATCTGGAGAATAAAACCTCAAGAAGTAGAAGATTTCCTGTACAATGTTGCACGTTGTAACCCTGGTTGGATATTGTTTTGGACTACACTCTACAACGAAGGGTTTGTTAACAATCGTAACGTTCCCTAATATTAAAATACCATCCAACTGTCTGGCCAGGCGTCCGCCCGCCCTGGCAAACCAAAGTCTAATTGGTTCGTCGAACGCTACATCTTTTCGAAGTGTAAACCGCCGCGCCAGACTGCACATCTTCAAGGATCATATAATTTCTTTTCGCGCAAGCTGGCGCTGCAATTTTGATCGCAGTGAGTGATGTGTTTTCCCGTGGCGTTATTCATACGGGGGCGAGGGTAAACTTGACGGCATCACTGGATTGCGGTTATTTTTGCTTAAAGTGTTTGCTGGATAGCGTTTCCTGTAAACGGATGACGAATCTCCACATGAAATGGGACCCTGCACTGTGTTCAGTAAGGCGGCCGTTGAGTATACGATGTAAGATATACATGGCGTTCAATGCGAGCGATTTTCAGTTGTTGTTGTCGTGTACATGCAATCTTGACAGCCACATACTTAGTAGTGGATATGTGCTATCGTTGCTCGTTGTCGAGATGAGATTCGGCACAAATGGGTTAGACCGTTCGGATGTTGTGAAAAGAGACAAGACCAGTAGCGGTGCATGCACTATTGACAAGCGAAGCCGCTTGGACAGCCACGAGATTGCAGTCCGTGTGGCTTCCAGGAAGGGGCGGTTTATTGACGGGTGTGCAAATTGTAGACTACAATTGATGAA